AAGGTCAGAATTACAATTGTGCGAGACGCAGTTTGACAGAATTAATAGTACGATAAGCGATAATTTTTTATTGTTGAGAATGGCTTAAAAAATGAACCGAAACGTACAAATTGAATTTGTTATTTAATAATAGTTATTATTTAGCATTGCGCAATATAATATCCAGCGCTAACTCCTAATGCCCACTTGTATTTTGATGTTATATTTTCACTGTATTATTTGTGGTAATTTATGCTTAAATATTCAATCATTTGGACATTTACTTTATATTGATGTATTTTTTAGAATTTTTTCAGATTTTTGAAAGTGGGTATAATTTTTCATTTATTTACTTAAAGTTAAAAAATTGATTTTTTCCACATTATTTTTTTTCATTAAAATTAACTTTTTTATCTGAAAGTGCGAGAAAAATCTTAAAAAAATTTATGTTTATTAAAGTTTTATGTAAAATATTTTAACTATAAATGACGACAAAAAAAATTTCTTTAAACGATTATCTCCAATATTTTGGGTGCAAGGCATATTTATTTTTTTATTTTCAACATTATATAATATGTTTACTTACATGTGTATTTTTATGATTATTTTAAAGATTCTAAATGACAGTTTATTTTTAAGAATACTTTTTTCATGTAAAATGCTTCAAATCTTTTTTACTTATTATTATAATAGGTTTAATTGTAGGCTAATGGAGATAAAGTAAAATCGAAATATTCCCATTTTGTATTGTTGAAAACTAGTTACTATATTTATTGTGTAAATCTTAATCTATAATAATCTATAATAAAATAGTTTTAATTTCAAATCCATTTATTTACTCTTAATTAACCTTTCTTCTATTTGAGAAAGAGCGAGGGAGGGAGAGAGAGAGAGAGAGAGAGAGAGAGAGAGAGAGAGAGAGAGACATTTTTCGTTATTTATTTACATAAAAAATCAGGAAATGAAGGAGTTACTGTTCCGTTAGTTTTACAGTTACTTTTTATAATAACAATTTGATAATGATGTTGCAATTTTTTATAACTGTAATGATGTTTACACTAACTAAACGCTGAGATTACGTTAAGATTAAGGAAGGTCACTCTGAAAAGTAAATTGTCATCACGTGTTACTTATTGAAAGAAGTAACGAGTAATGCTGTAAGTTACTTCGTTATGAGTTACATTAAAAAGTAACGAGTTACAAATTGCGAGTTATTGCTTTTTTCAGTAACAAATGATTTTTCAAACTCATTATATGAGTTAACTATTGACTATTCCAACTCTGATGCTATATTATATCAAAAAAATTTGCAATAAATCGTTATTACAACATGGTAACTAATTATAAATAACGGTAATTATAGTAACTATAGTTACTTCCATTTCCTGATTAAAATATAATTTATCCTAATTTACCTGAATAAAATCTTTTTAATTTGTCATCCAGGAAGTAATATTTTGACACAATAACGGGTTGAATCGGCATTTGAGATTCAATCGCGACATGGAAAGCACCTTTCTTAAAAGGAAGCAATGAATTACCTGAATGACGGTGTCCCTCGGGAAATAGAAGAAGCCTCCGCTGAAAGGATTAAATAGATCGAAATTTCTATAAAAGGATATTAACTTCTACAGAAAATATATTAAGGATATTACTCTGTGATTATACTGTTCAAAGAGTACATTATTGATTGATTTAAAATTCGCATTAATTTAAATAATTTTTTTCCTGTCAATATATTTTTTAATGCTATTTTAATATATTTAACTATACTTTTCAATGTTTAATATATTCTAATATATTTTTTAATGTTATTTTAAATCTCTATCTTCGGTTAATGATATAAAGAATATTATGTAAAGTCATCACCTTCGCCAGACGAATTGATTTCGCTGTAGCATTAATAATTTGGCATGATTCTCCTACATTTTTTCTATCAATGAACAACGTTCCCCAAAGCCAACACGCAAGACCGAATGGTCCAAGATACAAAATCTCCTTCTTCGAAATAACGGTGCAATTATCCATCGCCAACCATAGTTCACCTAAAACTATGGCCAATTTTGTTATATGTATTTCCGTCATTCTTAATAAGATAAGAGGATATAATCTATCTTTTTATTCTTTATTATTATTTTAATTTGTTCATATCATTTTTTTTATTTAATAAATTCATAATAATTTCAATAATTAAAATTACCGCAAAGATCCAATGAACTCTGATGGTTGATGAGTACGATACAGCCTGAATCTTTGACAATATTCTCTTTGCCGCGAAAATGGAAATTCATTCCAATGATCTTTGCTACTGTTACCACGCACCTGGCCGGCACTCTGAAAGATTTTATTTATATTTTAATAAAGCTCGAAAATTTGCCTTTATATACCAATCATGTACGGGAACTTACAACGCGTTTCTCCAGCTGCCAACACGGAATAGCATAAACGGTATCCATAATCCCGCAGCTAACGCACTTGCTACTATGAAGAAAGTAAATTTCACTCGATATCTCATACTCTCGCTCAAAACACATAGCATAACAAAGACAAATAGCAGCACAATGCCAGTCGTTAAATAAATGCCGCATAGTACTCTAAAATCATACAAGATTAATTACACTAATTGTGCTAATTTATTATATTTTTAAATATGTTAATTTAGTCTATTTTTTTAGTATGTGAGGGAAAACTGAGAATTAATTTCTAATGATTTTTAATGAAATAAGATATATATGTATGTGTGTGTGTGTGTGTGTGCGTGTGTGTGTGTGTGTGTGTAAGTAATCGCTATTATTATTTTCTCCATAAGAAATCACAAATTATTTGCTAATAACCACTTCATGTATGATCATAATAAACAATCAGAGTTTGTTATTACGTAAACTTTTTTATACTATATGTGTATACTTAATATTAAATCATTGCTTGCAAATCATTATCAAAAACTTTAATTTTGTAGAATGTTCCTATAAAATAAATAACATCTAAGAATAGGAATTCGTCATATTAAAATAAAAAAATTTATAAATTGTATTAAATTTTACATTAAAAAATTAAGTACTTATATGATTAAATGTAAAACATACCATGGTAAATTGAAATTAGAAATAATTAATAATTAAAAAAGTCACGTTAAGCGTAGTAGTAATGTAAATTATTATTTGCAATTCATAATTATCCAAGCAGAACAACAAGTCACGATAATGTTAAAATGATGTCAAAATGACATTACTTTGACATCATTTTGACATTATTTTAACTGTTACATCCGGACTCCACAGTTCTTTTCTTCGAATAAAACTTTCGTCATCACCATAAGAATTATTAACAAGTAATACCACTAGACCATCTGTTTCTACCATGAGAGGTTACAATAGCGACGAGCCGAATAACATTTACCTTTTTAAATTAATAATCCACTCGGGACAGAGTTGTTGGATTAGATATTTGAACCAAGTGCCATATAGGCGAACCAAGGCGAACTTTATCCCGAGAAACAGGAAGAATAAACAGATTAGAATTATAAAACAGCAGTTGTCTGTAATAAATGACACATGTGGCTCTAAACTATTGGACATCCGGCAAATGGTCGATGACAAAAGTTGTCTTAGACACATACCACTGTATCCCATTTCACAACGAATATCCTTAATCCTAATCCTAGATTAGATCTATAGCACACGCGAGCTCTGCACTCGGCACTACTAACTTGCCAATATAAAAAGAGGTCCTCCATGAGGAACGCTCAATTGTCAGTCATTTTCCAAACTTTATTCTGCCGGTCTCAGTAATCAGTCAAACTCCATTTCCGAAACTCTGCCGGTTCGCGACTACACGTAATTACGTCAGTAAAACTTCATCTCTGACACAAAACTTTGCCGATCCGTGACTTTATCGCTCCACCGATCATAGAGGTAAGCCGCGATCCATTAGATCGAATGGTCTATTTGTTATTACTGTCAAGTAATAAGAGTGACTTGACCGGAGTCTTCACATCCGAGTGGCAACCCTCCGTGGAGTGCTGGGATCATCAAAGAAATTCAGCCATTGGATCCACCCTATCATCCACAGAATAACAGTAAGTCCCATTTTGACCCACACACACATGCACGCACGCACGCACGCACGCACGCATGCACGCACACACACACACACACACACACACACACACACACACACACACACACACACACACACACATACACAGTGCGACAAATATGTTCCCGGACACGAACCACATCTCAGCAACCAGTGGCGATATCTGTGCGTCCAAACATGCATTTGAAAGGTTTAACATTTCCCTATCATCTGTCAAAGTTTCATTCATTTTGGTTGATATATAACGAAGATATCACAGTTCATGTTAAACAAGATTTTGGTCGAGGTAGAAATGTCTCTGGAATGATTGATTCTCATTGATTTTTGATCGCTTCTTAATGTGTGTGGAACAAACTTCGCACAAACCTTCGTTTTACCCAAATCTTCATGTAATATGGTTCGAATCGTTTCTCTACTGATATTTAAAGCCTCCTCCATCATTTTTAGTGACGCATTGCGATCGTTTGCAACAAAATTACGTACTTTTTCGATCATTTCGGGTGTTCGAACCAAAATTGGCCGTCCTGATTTTTTGTCATCTTCAAGGGTCTCTCTGCCTTCCAAAAAACGCTTATGCCACTCAAAAACAGCTGTACGACCTAGACATTGATTGCCGTAAATTTGTTGCATCAATCGGAATGTTTCTGATGCACTTTTACCAAGTTTTGCGTTAAATTTAATCACTGCTCTTTGTTCCATATTAAAATTTCTACCTCGACCAAAATCTTGTTTAACATGAACTGTGATATCTTCGTTATATGTCAACCAAAATGAATGAAACTTTGACAGATGATAGGGAAATGTTAAACCTTTCAAATGCATGTTTGAACGCACAGATATCGCCACTGGTTGCTGAGATGTGGTTCGTGTCCGGGAACATATTTGTCGCACTGTGTATATGTAAAGCATCCGCTATAATTTACACTAAATTATAGTGCCGCGTCTAAACCGTCCCTACAAGGGGTGGCTTAGAAGCCGAGCCTACCGGGAAGCGCGCAGACTCTTGGACGAAGAGTTCCGGAGATACCTCGCGGGTTTGCGAGAACAAAGTCGCCCGCCCGAGGACCATTTGCCACCACCATCACCCTCGTCACCACCGGCTCCGCCGGTTATACCTAATCAGTTAGAGGTTATATCTCCCCTTCAACCATCTTCACCTTCAAACCACCCTCAAACACTTTCACCTCCCTCGCAAACTCCTTCGCCTCCCCTTGATCTCCGTCACCTGCGTTTTCGGACGCACTGACGGAGCGAATCTTTCCCGATACTCCCCCACTATCACCCGATTCGTCGGTCAATTCTATCCCAATTTTCCCCAGAGGAATTCCGTCCCCGACGAACTCCACGGACAGCGTTCGACAGGAGTTCTTAGAGGAAATTCCTCTGCCCCCTAGATCTTATTTCCGAATCCTAGAGAGTGACACATCTCTCGAGTCACTCATCAGTCAATTCCCGCGGACTACTATCGCATCTATCTCTCAGGGGGCTTACACAATCGGCTCTCATTATTTCGATCCTGAGGAAATCCAGAATGCCATCACCGGCCAACACCCAGCCTTTTGTATCCCTATATTCCTACCGAATTCCACCAATCCGTTCCTAGTTCCAGTGGAATTCTTCTATAATCTTTTTTTCTCCTTCCTCCGCTTCCATCCATGAAATATATTAAGCAAAACCTATCCGATTCCCCCTCTCACACAGTGTACATACAATGTATAGCCGTTATAGAATAGATAATACTGTTGCGTCAATAACTATAATGTACAGATTAGATATAATAAATATTATTATATAACCGATTATCATATAACCGCGTGTTTTCCTATCTGTTAGTTAGCTACAATAAATAATGTTACTAATCATTCTTCTCGCTCTTGTCATTCACTTTTAAAACCCCCTAATAAAACCTCGTAATCATTAAAGCCCACTTGCCCTTTCAGAGCTCGCACGTGGAGTTAAAGGGATTTTCCTGACTCAAAATTCGGACCGATGATCGCACCACTCGTAGGAAGCAGATGTCATAGCGTCTTTACGAGACGTTGACCCATATTCCGAAGCGAGCAATAAAAAGAGTGCGGATACCTGCGAGATAAAAGTCTGGCCTCATCCTTCCATACTCCATCCTTTCTATTCCCTTCTCTCTTAAAATCCATTTTCCGGAACTTGGACGTAACATAACATTATCATGATTTGTTCTGTTTGAATAATATTATAATACAAAATCAAAAATATCCTTCGATCTGTGACTAATTTTATTATTTATTAAATTATGAGGGCTCAATCCAGTAGCCGGAACTTGTTTGTTTTATATATTAATATACGCCGTTCTACTTCTTATTTTATGTATTTATGACTAATATCGTTAATTAAATGTATTATGCGTCGACTCTTTTTCGCCATTCACTTTGTTTATTTTGTTTATACATAAGAGTCTTTAAATCGTTGATATTTATTAAATTATGATTTTTATTATTATTAGATATCGACCATTGATTATAAAGGCACCGATGAATTCATATAATCACCGTAACGACGTTAATTTCCAAATGAATTTAAAGTTTGATTTCTCAACGTTTCTTAAATATTATCGAACTTAGGAGATTGGAAACATCAACATAATTTTTAATTACACATCACGCGTTTTATGAATTATATAATACTCATATGTATTTATATTGAATTTCGCATTTTGTATTTTAATTATATGAATGATAATATTAATAATTATTATACGTGTGGATATATTACAGAAAAAATAGGTAAATAACATTAAAAAAATAAATTTAATTGCAAAATAATAATGAAAAATGAAAAAATGCCTACATCAGCTATTCGGATGCACAAAAATTCTTTATTTTTTTTCGTATAAATGTAACAAAACAAATAAAATATACGTTTCAATCCTTCAATTTCGGCCCTTATCAATATAATATCGAAATTACATAATTAACGCAAATTCCAAGTTGATGATTCCCGACAATTAGTTCGTTCTTCTTTATCCAAATGCCAAATTAGCCATGTAATGAATAGCCCAATGATTATCATAATTATTACATTATACAATAATAATATAAAACTTACATAAAGTAAAACCGAAATTATATGCATTGCGTCACTACGTAGAATCGCTCATCAAATTGTCGGATTTGCTGTGTAGTCATTCAAAAGAAATACAAAACGAAAATTAGAGAATTATTAATTTGTCTGAATTTTCTATAATATCCACTCACATGTAAGCGTTTTCTCAGCTTCACGTAACGGACTTGTGTTGTCGACAGCCAGAGATACAATAAGAGTCAAAATAATAAAGTTAAGTAGTTATTGAAATAAAAATAAAACTAAGATCAAAAGAGGGTAATAATAATGTCACAATTCAGTAAACAAATTCATGTATAGTGGTTCCAAAGAATACATATCATTCTGTAAATTCAAATTCTATTGCTTTATATGAATCGCTTCGAAATCAATCTTTTATTAAGTACTTTTTCTTTGTCTA